TTTAAATAACTTTGTCGATCGGAATTTTCGCTCCATTGATATACGAGCAAAATCTGTTTAATACCATTTTTTTTCACAGGTTCAAATTTTCGCGCTTTAATTTTTAACCAAAATGGTCGAAATTTGATCAATTTTACACAAAAATAGTTATTTTTGTTCATTATTATTTTGTCCAATTCAAATGTCTTTTAGTTATGAATTAAATTGAATAGAAGATTTATTTCTTTAGATTTTTCTCTTTCCACAACAATTATTTCATGTGATTTTTCTTACGTGTTTTTTGAATATTTTGACTTTACTAAATATACTATAAATATTTTCTTTACTTAATTATTATCTACATTGTATAAGAATTTAGGCCAAATCCTATTATTTATATCTGTTTTAATCCAATCCAATTGTATTGTATTATAATTTGTAATTCATCATATTTTAGGTCCTAGTTAAGATCAAATATTAATTCTATTTATTAAAACCATCCAAGTTGTGTCTTCAAATCACATTGCTTAACTATTGTGAAAGATAAACGATTCTGCTATAATTTTCTTTGTATATTATTACGTGTATTTTCGTTTTTCATTAAAAAAAGTACAGAAAAGCTTTAGCCAATTTGAGTTGCTTTAATTTGATGTGGGATAGTTTAATAAAGTGGTGCAATTTGTTGATTTGCTGGAAATAATTACCGGTACGTGGTAATGTAACAGCAGAAGAAAGAATGAATAAGAGAAAGTGCGTGCAAAAGGGAAAGAGAAAAACGCACTTAACGTAATCCAAAAATTATTATAATCATGATGATGAACGTGTCCCGATAATCTTAATCTATTCAGATGAAGCGATATCAATTCCACTAATGCCACCTATTAATAAATACAAGTAACACAATTTCAATTTCTCTGCTTCTTTAAAATGTTACTTTTTAGTCTCTCTTTTGGGTCATAAACTATCGGCTCGGATCTTTAAGAGATAATTATTTCGTCAGTCGTCTGGATAACAACGGTTCGATCGGTGTAAAGACGCGCACCGATCTCTATCTGCAAAGGAGGCCCTGATCTTCCTTCTTTTTTTTTATTGTTTTTTTTTTGTCGTCATCGTCGTCATCTTAAAGACCGCAAAAATCAACTACCTAAGAGATGTTACCTTTTGTGCAGCCGAGAGACCAACAAAAAAGAAACACGGGAAAAAAGGACGATAAATTCGGGAATTTTTTTTTTTTGAGGGGTCCCCGCAGATAAGGATCTTTCCTCCCAGCACGCGTTACCAGATCGCCGAAAAGATTTGGCAAACAAGAAGAGGCGTGCTTCTTTTATTATTATTTTTTTCATCATCATCATCATAGTCTTCCTTCCTGAGGTACAAAAAAAAAAGAGAAAATTATCGACCCGAGTTAAATTGATTTGCACAACGCCGACTACCAAAAAAAATAAATAAGACTAAACTGGAAGAAGCAAATTCTGTGACTAATCAAAAAGGCTATGTAGAAAATTTTGATTCCTAGAGCTTTCGCTAATAACACGGATGAATGAAGAGAGAAAATAGGGGTGGCCTTGATTTGCGCAAACAATTCTTAAATTTTTGCAGTTGCGTGTGTTTACATTTGTAAGACTTTGGCTCATTGTCGCAATTGATACAAGTTCCTCATCAGTCTTAAGTAGCAAAGCGCGCGCGAGCTCTCAAAAGAAAACATGAAACATTCACACTTTCGCTCCATTGTTCTTTCCTACTCTTTCTTTCATTTTTTGTCCATCGTCCCTTTAGAGCTGCGACAAAAAGGTTTGAGCAGCAAAAAGGGATTATAATTCGAGTGCGCGGCTTCCCCCGAAATCGATATGGACCAATAATTTCTCTTTCTTTCTTCCCCTCTCTCCCATCTCATTCCAATCCAATTTATGTAACGGCTTGTAATGTCTGCAAATCGTACAAACTGCAATCGCATTTGTTTAAATAATGGACGGAACCGACATCGCCTTTTTGATTTATATTAGTTGTAAAACATTCGTACGTTCATACCGGCCACCATAAATTTCATCACGGATAGAAAACACTTCTTTGCTTTTACCAATGGAAAGCACCGCTCCTTGCAGCAATTTGCAAACGGGAACATTATCGACTGCTTTACAAAATATTTACATTACACACGCTTCATTCTTGCAAGTTCTTTTTTTATTATTTATTTTTACATCAATTACATAATTTGACTGTTTTTCCAATAAATTTTATCCATAATAATCAATCATTTTTCTACCTTAATTCTACCTTATTTCTTTACATTTTTATGAAAAAATTAGAACATTTTCAAAATATTTGAACTAAAAATTGAATCAGTTTAATCAATCGTTAAAAACAGAGCGTTAAAACTTATGTAATAAAAAACTATAAAAACTATTTAATTTGCTCATTCAGTACATCAAAAAGTTAATTGCACGAAACAAGAACTTTGCAACAACAAAACAACTTAAGTCAATTCTATAAATACTCAAATGCTTTTTTCTAATTTATTTAAGACACATAATGCCAATTATTCTCGTTGCTTTCACACAGATATTCAACATTTCAGCGTTTGCATTTCACAGAAAACAATGTAATTATTGAAATATTCACGCAATCATTCAATATTTCTATTCATAATTCCATTATTATATTATTAATTTCAAAAAAAAATACGTAATAATCATTAATTTACTGCACAAAACAAATATTTCATAAAATTTTACATATAGTTTTTTAATTAATAGTAAATTCATTTGTAAAGACAACAACAACAATATTTTTTTTTAAATAATTAGTAATGGATTTGGTTTAATTGAGACGAAAATAATGATGGGATTAAGAAAGAACAAACATAATTATAAGAGTTTAATCTATCCGTTCCAAATTAAAAATGATTATTTCCCCCCAAATTACATATAATTAAAGCGTATTTAACCATGAATTAAACGTACAATTAATTAATTAAATTTTTGTTTGTTTCCATTCATTTACAAATGATCATAGATTCAGTAGAATTTCGTAACGGGAGAAAAGATTCGGGCCTCAACGCGCAACCGAATTTTTACCGTCGCTTACCAACTTGCAACCATAGCAACGTTATATAACATATTTTCTTCATTAATTTTTACATTAAACGTTTTGTTCTTATTTTTTTTATTAATTATGAAAATATTAAATAATTTTTCTAAATTAATTTTAATAAAACTAAGCTTATTTCTAGGAATTATTTGTAAATTTGATAAATTGTTTTTTTTTGTTATTCTCTGTATTAAATTTATTTCTTGTGAATTCTTGTGAAACCGCAGATTAAATGAAATAACAAAAATAAACCCGTTTTGTGTTGCAGCAGCCGCCGCCGCCGTTTGTTTAAGCTTTAATATTTAAATTACGCGCCCATTCATATCGTCCGCATTTTGTTTTTGGACCGTCTCTTAAAATGTGCTCCTAAGAAGACTCGATTCGTATCTCATGACTTCCCGTGAAATTTACCGCCGCGCACTTTCGCTTTTTCATTCATGCATCAAAACGACACAAAATTTCATTCATTTATACACAAACAAAAATCGAAATTATCTAAACTAATAACAAAAAAAAATGCATCGAAACAGTAGAAAAATATGATAATTTACAATTACTCTAGCGTTTCATTATTGAAATGTCACGTTTGCAAATGACGTAACGAGAGCAAAAAAAAATGTAATATTTCTGTTTTCTCTTATATTATATAACTTTTTTTTTTGTTTTTGCTGTCGCTGCTGCATAATTATATCAATAGAAACGGCAATTTGCAAATTGAAATTGATTTCGCAATCGCGCATCCAGCAGTCACATTAGATTCGTAATTTCGAGCAAACATAATTAATTTTCGCACACACGCATTATTTTCTATCTTTAATTTGTTGTTGTTTATAAATATTGACTTAACTTGCAACTGCACACGACGAAATTAATTTAATATTTACGCAATTATACTAAACGATTTGCAGTTAATTACGATTTGTTGCAAAATGTTCGGATTCGAATGGATTTGCATAATATTTTGATATATGTGTCAAATTCAATTTACAATATTTAAATTCACATAAATACACAAAGAAAATGAGATTTTTATAAATTTGTTTCGAAATTTTATTAATTTAAAAATGTAATTTCTTTCTTCTCAAACAACAAATCTTATAGTTCATTTATTGTATAATTATTAAACTTATAATTATATCATATTTTTATGCATTTATTCTATAAGAAACATATTTATTATCTGATTTAATTATTTAATCAACGTGTGTCAAGTTACAATTAATTGTAACACTCCTTAGGCCAAAAGTAATAATGAATGTCAAGTGATATTAGCTAAAACCACAATTCTCACATATATAATTATTTATAACTACGATTCATTTAAAATCTAATTTTATTTCACCAAATGTATAATTTTCACATAAAATTTTCATTTATAACCTTTTTATTGACCGTTTTATATCAATACAGAAAATAAAAATCTTGTCTAATTATTAAATAAGAGAAAAAATAAACTCATTTCTCGTTGTTTTAATTGCGCTTAAAAAAAAATGAAATTTTGCTTCATCAACTGTGAAAATTTGCATTTATTTGTAATAATAACACTCAATATTCATTAAAGTTTATTTTTATTTGCAAACGATTTTATTTTTTCATTAATTTAGATAAAACTTAGAGAAAATTTTTACAATTTCTTACATGTTTATACAATAATAATTTCATCACAAATGTGAGCAGCAAAAGTTTTTCTTATTACATATTGAAAATTTTTCACTTAAATTGTAAATTAAACATAATGGAACGTTCTTATTTATGTTTTGACTCAGAAAATATTAGTTTTCTTTCTAAATATTGTAATTTTATATTTGTTTAGAATTTTATTTATCTACATTTTCATATTGTAAATATTTTGTGTAAATTTTCTTTCTAAATGTTGTGTTGTTGATTTGTAAATTTTTGCGTTTGAAAAATAAATAAATAAAATTTGTCTGTACCTTCCGCTTTTTGTAATGACCATTTCGGTGCCGAGCTTGTGGAACTTCTCCCACAGATCCTTTCCTTCGAGCGTGACTTTGGGGTCGTCGACGACGCCGTCCTCCTCGGGTTGTATGGCGCGCAGAGGCCTGACCATGGCAGGATGATGGTTGTGCGCGGCGACGGCGGCGAGGACGACGTCTTCTGCGGTGGTGTAAGGGTGTCCGCTGAGGCTGTGCGGATGCGGCGGGTGGCCGAGCTTCGGGATGAGCGTGCCGGGGTAGCAGGAATGAGGATTCTGACTTCCGAAGGCGGCGAGCGCCGCCGCCGGGAAGTAACCGGCGGCGGCGGCAGCGGCGGACGCCGCACTCGACCCTCCGCCGCCGCCTCCACCGCCGGGCGAGGTGCTCGCAGGAGACGTGCTGCTGTTGGCCGCGGTCAGAAGGCTGCTCACACTGAAGTCCGTCTGCCGGGGCAGCTGGAGGAACGGATGGTAGGCCATCGTGTTCTTGGCTTTCGGGTCTAAGCTATTATCCAGCGCCGTTTCGAAACGCATTTGGGTTCTCTTGTTGGAACGCGGGGGAATCGCAACGATCCTCCGCGCACTGCTCTAGGTGAACCAAACGAACGCAACTGATTACCACCGCTTTCGGACTCAGAACATAATCTCTTCTTGAAGTGCGTGGTGCAGTTTACTACAGTGTTGTGTCCCTTTTTTTTTCTTCTATTTTATGCACCCTTTTTCTACCTCCGGATCGAAGCAACTGAAGAAGATACGCGAAGCACCAGGTATATATTATCACTTCTCGCCGGACATCGTGTTTGAGGGCGAAGCACAGTTACAAAAAAAAATATACAATAAATAAAAATTACGTATTATTTGTGAGAGAAAATATAAATAGGAATCCGGTATCACTGCACTTGGTGGAGGATCTCGTGACTCGTCGGCGACGGCGACGACGCCGGTGGAGAGAGCGTGGCGAAAGCTTAGCGTAGTCAGGGGGATTTCCGTTTTTCGAAACTCTCGCACGAAGCGCAGAAGGTGTGTGTGTCTGTCTATTCGTGAAAAACCGCAGCAGCACACAACAACGATCACTACGATTTTAGAGTCCTGTAGGGTTAAACCGTGAGCGTGTCGCTATCGACACCTCTATGCGACGTAAAGTGTAACGTAAGACTATAGAAGGATGCGTCCGCGGCGGCCTACGAGTGTGTTAATGACAGGGACGCTCTCCGATTGGTCGGGCTGGTGTCAGATCCGGCGGCTCGACCAATCGCGCGGCGACGTCGCCCCCACCCTTTTGACACTCGGGCAGGGGCCGGCGTTTCACGGTAATGCCTACGTAGGCGTTGCTTCGAGCGCTTTTTGTGACGCCGATTCTCCGCTGCTTTTTTGTTCCGCCGCCACCGCCGCCGCCGCCTCCGTCGCCGCCACCGCCGCTCGAGACATTCGAACGTTTCTCACTTGTACGCCCCGTGTCGGACTTTTCCGGTGGAAGCCTCCGCCGCAGAAAAAGACAGAATCCACCACCACCACCACAACCATATAAAAACCACCTCCCCCCGCCCCACACTCAACTCCAAATATCTCTCTCACACACGCAGAAGTATTATTATTATTATTATTTTACTCTCCATCTGTCATTTTGCAATACTCGCCCGGCGCAAACCCGAACGGCGCTGAAATTTTACCAGAAAAAAAAATGCCGACGTGAATTAACCTACAATTACTCTCCTCCCTGTGTTTATTATCTGCACTTTTTCAGGATTATAACAAAAAAAAATCTTTTGTTTTTTATCTATACACAAATTGTAAGTAACACTTTGAACTTATTTTTATTTAGACTTAAACATTTTACAAGAGTTACAAGCACAATTTTTATTATTTACAAATTTACAATTTTAATTTGAAAAATGAAGTAATGGGAAAATAGTAATAATATAAACGTAATATATTTATAACAAAATTTTTAATTTAAAAAAAGGCCGACGTGAATTAACCTACAATTACTCTCCTCTCTGTGTTTATTATCTGCACTTTTTCAGGATTATAACAAAAAAAAATCTTTTGTTTTTTTCTATACACAAATTGTAAGTAACACTTTGAAATTATTTTTATTTAGACTTAAACAATTGTTTCAACAGTTACAACCACAATTTTTATTATTTACAATTTACAATCGAATCATTTTAAAAATGAAGTAATGGGAAAATAGTAATAATATAAACGTAATATATTTATAACTAAATTTTCAATATAAAAAAAGGCCGACGTGAATTAACCTACAATTACTCTCCTCCCTGTGTTCATTATCTGCACTTTTTCAGGATTATAACAAAAAAAATCTTTTTTTTTCTATACACAAATTGTAAGTAACACTTTGAACTTATTTTTATTTAGACTTAAACATTTTACAACAGTTACAAGCACAATTTTTATTATTTACAAATTTACAATTTTAATTTGAAAAAAATTATTTATTTCGTTTAATATAAATTTTTTCATTGAACAATATTTTTATTACTTCATAAAAATTGAACTTATTCTCAGATTTTCAACAAATTTATTTAGGA